TTTTTGGCAGAACGAACGTTTGTTTTGAATCTTCTTGATTGTGTTACGTTACACCTAATCTTGAAAGCTGATTCGTAAATCAGAAGAACTACGTCACCAACCTGGTACACATTTTTCGGATGTGAACATTATACCTGCTAGTATGTTCGATAATGATACCATGTGAAGTTTTTTCTGTGATATTTATGCAAAAAATATCATGGCAAAAAGATTCACATGATCATATGAAATGTCCGTAATATTTGATATAATGGTTCAAGTTCAAAGTTAAAATAATAAATTTGTGCAAGGTATTATGCACTATTCTTAAACCGTCAATTTAACTACATTTTAAACTACAATCAGATATAATTCGATAGCTTAATCACAGATCAATCACAGTTTAAGGGATATGAGAAGATACAATAAACGAATAAATTTAAATTTGGTTATATTTGTTTATTGAATATTTATGTAATGTAATGTAATAGTATAAAAACTACAGTGATTCCTGTGATCTGTAAAATTGAAATAAGTGCTAGCATAAATATTTACAGGATTCAGCTAATGATTCCTGACAAAACTGACAAAATTTGTCGAACTTCTATTTTTCAACTATCTACAGTGCATACAATGCACTATGCACTAATTGCTAATTGTGATATGCAGCATGCAAAAATTTACCGACACGTAAGTAATCAGGGATACGATCAGGGATAATATTTAAATGACTATGCACTCTACATGTTATTACATGTTATTACGTGTGTTAAATATTTATGAATTTTAACAACCTCAATTTACGCGCAATAGATAATTATTACCTAGTCTTTTTTAAGCCACGAGAAATATATTTACAATTATTTAATAAAAATGCTTGATTGTTTTAAAAACTGAAAAATATAAAATACTGCATTTAAAATTTCAATCATTTGTATGTTTCTATTTTGACTTTTCATATCTTTCAGAAAGAAATATCTCTTTTTATTTAAAATGAACAAAACTGAGAGTTTGATAGAAGTTGTTCTGCACAGAGAGGAAAACGACGTTCCACACAGAGGAAAAAAAATCGATAAATATGAATTATCACCAAACATGGAATACATTGCGACTTTAAGTAAAGAAGATAAATCAATTGTTGTTTGGACCGTTACTAAAGATCTTACTGTCAAATACGAAAGTTCATTAAACATTAATGATTTTGAACGTGCTCTAAACTGATAATTTTTATAAAAAACCTGATTTTAAGATCGAAAGGCTATTTTTATACTATGAAAGGTATAACACGTTAGCAGGAATCTCAGATTGTAAACATGTCATCATAAGTTTAAATTTGGCTTTTGAAAATAATTTTGGTTAGTTAAGTTATCGATAAAGTTTAATTATATTTTGTATTAATAAAATTTAATTATATTTTATATTAATAAAATTTAATTATATTTTATATTAATAAAATTATTTTAACAGCAATTATTGACATCGCAACTAAATTGAGACAAATATTGATTGCGCAAGGTTTAGAAGAATGGGTACAAGGTATTGCCTTTCTAGAAAATGGTGATCTAGCAATTGTCAAAGGCAAACCTGTTTATCGAGCCTATATCTTAAAATCAAGTTCTAATGGAAAACATAATTGGATATACAAAAATAGTATTGAACTCGAAAAATTTCATTCACGTTCATGTCGTATTTACAAAAAAGGAAAGTTGTTTATGAGCTTCAGCATGCCTTTTGTTGTTATGCAATGGGACTTGATAACTCGAAAGTTTGATATGCAATATATACTAAATTGGGGTCATTACGAATGGAAAATACATTGTTAGCTGTAGCTTTAGATGACGTCAAAAGTATAGTCTATATTTATTTAACAAAATCCGGTATGATGATAGCAAATAGTAGATATTTTTATGTCAAATTATATAAATATTATAAATATTATAAATATTAATACCGATACGTATCAAAATTATTAACTAATATATTTATAGAAAATTTTGATGAGAAATTCCATAATTTCTGTTTTATTGGATCAGGAGAAGAAGAACGTTTGTTTTTTTCTGGCTCACTTGGATCAGAAAAAGAAACAATTTATAATTTTTATATACTGAATCTACACACACTCTCTCTCGATAAGTCTCCTGACACTCATGTCTTATATGATATTTATCATGTCACATTTAACAATAAATTAATTGGCCCTATTGATATTACCAATTATAATATTATAGATGATTATATAATAAAAAAAGATAATTATTTGTCGATTCAACGATTGTCTCAAAATGACATTTGGATAGAATATTTAAAACATAAAGATAAATGTTATGGTAACGCATATACATATTTCAATATAAAAGAAATTAAGGAATTTATACAGAAGATCTTAGATAAGTATAATGATAAAGAGTACGAATCAGACAAAATTTTAGCTAAAAATGAATACAGTGCTGAGTTAAGCACTTGGATTATTGAACCTAAAAAAGATGATTATGGATGGAATATGCAGTTAAAAGCCAAAATTAAGTCTGATAAAGGTGATAATATAAAATATATAAGTGATATTTACTTATATCATGGAATTTATGAAGGAACAGTGCTCGAAAATGGTGACATATTGTTGGTTATTCCTTCTTACATTCGAATATATACAATAAACTTAGTAAAAAATTCCAAAGAAAATTTTAATGGAGAATTAACATATTGCTGGAGCGATATATTTGAGCCTAATTTTGAAAAAGCAAAAACATCAAAAGATTTCATTATTAGACTAAAAAAACTTCTTATTTCGTTTAAAAAAAAGTTAAATTCTTACAAATTTAGCTTTGAAACCTTACCACCACCATTTTATCATGTGAATAATAAATGAGATTTTTGCGTGGATTACATTATAACAACTCATTATTAAAATTGTATGAAAAAGATATAATTGAATTTATGTTAAGGGATTTGCTCCCAGAAAAATCAAAAATAATTGATAGATTAATTACTTATTACTATGAGAATTATACTTTTTCATCAATACTTGAGAGCCGTGATATTTATAGTTATATATTGACAACAGGTCAAATTGCTTTTACATTAACAAAGCTGAAAAAATCTAATAAAAATAAAAGATTTACAGAAGAATTTTTATCTAAAACCAATATATTAATTAGTCATAATTATAACCAAAAGGAAGATACTTTATTATTTAATCTTTAACATTGTGGAATCTATGTCAATTCACATGGTTTATTTAATACTTCATCTTTCGATCGTTTGTTTTTCTGGATTTCTAAAAAATGTAATCTTTTAAAAAAATCTTATCCACAAGTTTATCAAATTTTAGCATTTCCTTATTTGCTTTATTTATCTTACATTACTATCTATCCCCAAGAAACTGTAACTTTAATCTTTCCATCATTAAATTTTGCTACATATCCCAAAAATTATTCTTATAGTAAATTATTTTATTTACAAGGTAATCCTTTTACCTCACTGCTGGATACTTCTGATTATTATAAATAGTGGCATATTAAAGCGCTTATCA